TTTCGACCAGCCTAGTAGAAAAAGTATTAAATTCTCCTCCAGCTCGCTAGAAGCCCCGGAACTATCTTAAGTCTGAACGACCACCATCTCCTGAAGCAGCAACTTTACTCATAAAATCTCTCTGACTGGTCTACCGGAATGATGTCTCGACCTTCGACGTTTTTCGCCCGTTCCGTGTCTCTGCCTCGGCCCTGCCAGGTAGCGACGAAGCGTCCCAAAGGTCCCACTCGCGCCGACTCCGCACCGACGTCTGTACGTCGCACGGCGTTCATGCGCGGCACTAAGTATGGGGAAACTCGAACCATTATATTTGGTATGTTTGCGCCTCCACTTCCAGCACTGTTTCCTAACGTCCCCTCAGCCCACAGGACACTGCCCACTCGACCGCGCACCTCACCGGCACCTCCCACGTCCGTACACACAGAGCTCTTACTTGTCCTCATGCGCGCCCTGGCCGAACGGGGCGCTAGCTTCGACAGGCTCGAAGCAGTGGGTGTTACGCTGTCGTGTACCCTCAACGTGCCCGTCACGGTTGTGCGCCGGCCAGACGCTTTGACTTGCTATGTGGACGACCGCACTGGCCGCCGCAAATCTGTACGAGTACGTCGCGCACGCCGTGCCCGGGGCATCCCTGCGTCCGGAAGCGCCAACTTTGGCGCTATCTCTCCGCTTGCGCATGTTATAGAAGCGAGTGCATTCGCAGCCGCTGTGGCCGCGGTTGCATCGAACGGCGCGACACCGGAGGTGCTACTCGTATTCGCAGCTATGGCAATCTTCGGCACTTTTCACGCATTGATGCGCCAACTTGGCGCCAAAATCTTGCCCGAGCGGGTCTTTGCGTGCGTGTTTCCCTCATCTAGCGTTCGAATAGGTCTAACAGAATATCATAGGACCTCTGTGATGGTAGCCTTGAGCTGGTTGGCTCACACTCCGTTTGCTTCTACAGCATTGGCGAGCGGGATCGCGGGATACCTCCTCTGTATGTTGATACAGCACTTCATCCGATCATGTTACTGACTTAGCTGCGTCAGTATGCGCTGCTCTCACCCAGACACGTGTTAACCGTGGTGCATACACCACGAACACTCTGCAGGTCGGAGTCGCCGCGGTCTTCGGTGCCATGTACGCCCTCGCGCTCAGCCGAGGATTACCAGCGTACATGGACCTCTTCCTTTTTGCTAATATTTGGAGGCTTTCCGCCATAGCAGTGCCCATGGAGAGCCCTGCGGGCTTAGTTGACACATGGTTGCTGATATAACAGCCAGCGGTTTAAAGCATTTAGACATTTGCACGTGGGCTTATTGATTAGACCACTGAATTACCGTGGGAAATGTTTGTAGAACAGATTCTGTGCACTTTCTCTAAATATGAAGCCAGATGTTCAAGGTACGATTAAATACGCGACACGATTATCGTCGGCCTTCTGCGAATGCGAGGTCTCGCAGGTTGTTGTCTTAAGAAAGGGCGGTGTGGTTTGGCGCCGGCACCTCAGCGGTGTAAACGATCTATTGTATCTCTCGCACGAACGACAACTGCGTAAAGGCCATCAAAGGCGTGTCGGCTTCCATTCACCACACCATAAAGTAGCAGTTATATGCTGTACGCCCTACTGCAGGGTGAGATTATATTCGTAGCTCGCGAACTTTATCTCACGTACGACTACTGCAGGGTGCAATATATACTTCAGCTTTCTGCAGAATAACACCCTGCATTTTAGTCCAGTCGCCTGCGTTTTCGGGCTTGCTTCACAGGCGTCGACTGCATCGGCCCTATGAACTTGAATTCGCCGAATCCGCGCTCGGTCGGTGACGACTGCCCGTTCTCGATCGCAGGGCTGTACCCCGCATGCCAACCCTCCCCGCTATTCATGCTCTTCGCGCGCCGCGGGTCTACGATGGTGTAGCCTGATTCTACCGCCGTCTTGCCCGACTCGAGTGACATGTTCGGGCTCAGCGGTGTCGGCGATGAGTACCTCGGCCGCTGGAACATCGTGCGTTTCATGAACGGATCTGGCTGCCCTGGCGGTCCCTCTTCGTACGCGCTGTCGAGAGGCTGCTCGTGTGAGAGCTCGTCGAGCGAGTCTGGCTGGGACTCCACGATTGTGTCGCCTGAGTCCCCCCGCGCGTGGTCGCCTGGGCACAGCAAAGAGTAGAACACGCGCCACTGCGACTTTTCTTCGCTGTACGAAGCCTGATGGTTGCGCATGCACTTGGCAACGTCGCACAGCTTCTCCGGGCTGAGACCATTCGCAGGCTCGGGACACGTCGCGTCCTTGACCAACGCCTTGAAATTGCCCATTATCCGCTCTCGCGCTAAGGTCGTGAGTTAGCGACACGGTTGACCTAATAATATGATGACACCCACCATCCCGGCTGATGCATCGATGCCCCATTGCGGCGGCGAAGAGGCACGGGCAATTCGAGCCATCCGTGGTGCTCTCGTGTTCAGGTAAATGGCGGATAACCACAGCCATCGTCGCCTCGTCCTCCGCGCAGAGCTTCCACACTACGCCCGCGATCTTGTCGATGTCGCGTCGGGGGTCGTCGCGCCTCAGGCTGATATCTGGATCGTCATGCCTGAGGTCGTTGCGCTTCGGATCTTCGTGCCCTAGATCGTGGTCCTCAGGGGTCGCCCCAAAGCGCGTGAACGCATGGACGATGCAAGGGAGCGCATCGTCAAACCAGTTATCCCAAGTTTCCACGTTACACTCGCGCCGCCACTCGAGTTCCTCCGTAAGCTTGTCCACGAGCACCCGCGCGACAGCAACGACGCCCTTCACGCCGAGCCGGGAGGATTTGATAACGTCGTAGAGCGAGTCGCTGTACTGCGAAACAGTCCATCTGCCGAGCTCCAACATGCAGCGGATTACACAGTCTGGATCAAACGAGCTGAAGGTCTCGAAAGAGAGGTCGAGGATGTCCGCGAAGTCGTGAGGTGAGATACATCGTCCTCGCCGCCTTTGCCGTCCTTGCCGGTCCCGCTCTGGCCGCCCTACGAGCTGTAGAAGCTCGACCGTGTTCTCGGGATCGTAGAGCAACGCGTGGACGATAATTTTTGCCTCGCCCGGCTGGAACGTGTATCCCGAGCCCGACAGGACGATTTTCAGTATATCTTTCATCCAGTCCACCAGGCTCCGCTCGCGAGGGCTATCGTCATCGGGGTGAGCCGGGTGGACCATGTCCTGAACGATCGAATCCTCCATCACGTCCGCGAGAATGCCCGTCAGTCCGACCCATGCGACTTTGCTCATCGGTCGCAGATTTTGCAGCGGCAGCCTAGTGCGGGAGACTCTATCGCGCATGCGCCGGCCCATGACATCGAGGACGAAGTCAATGACTTCGGGGCCGCGGCTGCGTAGCTGCTGGATCTGCCCTCGATAGAAGCCGTCAATCAGGTTGTCATCGGCGAGCATCGCATCAACAGCAAGGAAGATGCGCAGATCACCCTTGGGGCTGGTAACGGCGTCTTCTTCCTCCTCGAACCAACCAAACTTCGTAGACCCGAATGGCTGGGAGAGCACGGAGTCAGAGTCGGAGTTATGAGAGTCATGGTGGGAACGTTGGCGCGCGAGATGAACGGCTCGTCGTATCCACTTGCGAAGGACCTTGAACGCGTTTACAAGGAAGGTAACTTTGTAGGGACACCGAGGGGAGAAGACGGGAGCAACAATCATGAGCAGGAATACGACCAGCCATGCGACAATGAGGGGCACGGTAGTCCAGCCGACATTTGAGTTGACCGAGAATGTGAAGTTGCAGAGTCCAAGGAAGAAGAGGCCGAGGGAGATTTGAAGCAGCAACGGCAAGACGGCGGCAATCTCGAGTACGTACCAGCCCTGCATGCCTTCGTGGCGGAACTGCCGGATACGGAGACGAGCCTGAGGCGAATAATAGTCGCCCGCGAGGTACTCATGTAGCCATTGCTTAACCAACATGGCCAGCGAGGCGGTGATGAGACTAATGATGAGACTTGAGAACCAAAGGGCATTGACGAGGACTGCAGACCCCAACGGTTCTGCTGAGCTTATGCTGGTGAGAACCTGATGGGTCGCGTTCGCAAACCTAGAGTTGATGGTGAAACTGGTCAGCTGCAGGGATATCTGGCGTAAGAGGGTGACGGTCTCTGTCGAGGTATCTGGTTGCAGGTTGTGATAGGATTCGATAACGAAGGCCGTGAGCACTGCGGAGAACAAACCAGCCTATAAGTGCGATTAGACCATGCGCTACGATATGCCAGAAGAGGGATACACACAAAGACGAGTAGAGTGTCGATATCCTCCTTACAGTTTTTCACCTTCCCTTTGTCAGCTTTGCGCACCACGCCGTCCATCTTTCTCCACTGAGTGTTGGGTACCCTCTGACGTTCTCTTTTGAGCTGAGATGGCGCGGGCTACGAATGCATTAGCTTGAGTAATGCAAATAATTCGAAAATCTTGACGCACCATCATACTTTCGCCAGATTTCAGCCCATTCTCATCCTCTGAGCTGGATGTCGAGCTGGAGGAGCTCGAGCTGCTGTCGATAATTTTCTTCTTCGCTCGCTGAAGCACTGTCAAGGTTGCGGACGTGCTTCGTCCATGGCGACCTATGCTCGGTCTCCGCGGTGCACCATACGTATCCGAATGATTGTCCCGGTCCTAGACGCACTTAGCCTCGTGAAAGCTAACTCATCTGACGATCGTGCACAAACCTGGGCACCACGCCCTTCTCGCCTTGCATGCATCGCGGGGTGGGGGGATCAGGTCGCTGAGGGTATGAGCCGCGTGGACTTCATATCTCCAGTATCGCACAGCTTCCAAGCATTCGAGATGCCAGAACACGGCTCCATCTTTCCTCCGGGAAAGGGTCCAGGAACATGAGGCCTGTAGCGCGGAGGATGTAGTGGCTGCTCGTAAGTCAAATGTGTCAGTCATCATGCATCAACGGCCGAGACTGCGCGGACTTGACCATGTGAACCGATGGCGCAACAGCCTTGGGCGGCGGCGGCTCGGTTCTCACGAATCCACCATCCTATCGCAAAGCGCTGGTAACTCGTAAGTAAGCGTCGAGTTCCGCTGGTTCTGAAGTCGTGGTGAGGGAACAGAACGATGAAACAGTCTACAGCGATGAAGCTAGTCAACAAGTGACCTATCTTTGTGGCGCGGTGACATCCGTAATACTTGGCTCGACCCCAGCGTAGGGTTTGCTCGCACCTGAACTTGACTCACCCCCCACAACGCAATGAAAGCCCGCCAAGACACTTGAGAGACTCGGCAAATTGGCGTTCCCAGCACCCGAGCATGACAACAGCATGTCCATGTGACGTATCCGACCTGAAACGCAAGGACACGACAAACTCTACCTTTCTCGCGTCTCTCTGGTATCTGCCCATCCCTCTTGCGCACCCTAGAGGCGGATCCAGGCATGGTCGGCGCAAGCGAAAGGCTGTGTTTTGCCGAAAAAGCCGCCGAAAACTGCGATCCATGGAAGACGAAGCGAGATAGCCGAGCAACATGTCGTGCAACGATGTTCACTTTTCTCGTCCTAATCACGACTACCGCTGTACTAGTTCTGCACAGATCATGGGCTTCACTCCTTTTTATCGGCAATATTAGCTATGCACACGAGCTCGAGCCTTTCTTCCATCTCGTCAAGACTCACGACGACCTCTGTATCGGCGGCACGTCACATTCGGGATACATAGGGCTTGAAGAAGACAGCGAAGACAAACCAAAGAGGTCGTTTTTCTGGTGCGTTCAAGTCAGTTAATGAATCATACTGTGGGCTTAATACGGCTTGCGCAAAGGTACTTCGAGGCGCAGAACAATCATGAGGACGCACCTGTCATGTAAGTGCTCTGTCTACTCTTTTTTTGCTTAAGGGTCTATCTCGTGTCATATTAGCTTGACAATCGGTGGGGGTCCTGGGAGTAGCGGGATGGCCAACCCTCTCTTCGGACGTGCGTGTTTGGCGCGACTTATTGCCCGTGGAAGCCATTAACCATCCCATAGAGTCGCATTGCAAGGTCACCGAGAACAAAACTACTGTCGCAAACCCGAACGCTTGGTCCGAAAACTACAATCTTGTCGCGCTCGACCATGTCAGTGCTTCTTTCCCTGATCGTTGAGCCAAATGGAGACGCTGACTGGGACATCCTGCGCAGCCTATAGGCGTCGGCTTCTCATACGGAACTCAAGTGAATAATTCTCGTGCGGCAGCATACGACGCGTACGACTTTTTGATCAAGTTCTTCCACCTGTTTCCGAAGCTAGCCAAGTAGGTTGCCTTGAGTGCCGGCGTATATATACGGTCTCAACTTACGCTCATAGCAACAAGCTCGTACTTGCAGGTGGCTCCTACGGAGGAGTAAGCTGTATGATTCCTCCTGAACCTCACTATTCTGATAACGTATCGTCAGACCTACATCCCACACATCGCAACAGTCATCCGCGAACAAAATGCCGCTCTCGCCGCGGGAGGAGGGGTGCCCGGCGCAACGCACCTCAACCTTGAAGCGATGATGGTCAGCAACCCCATGTCGGTACGTGCTTCATCCATCTATCTCCTTCAAACAACCCGTAACGAGCTCTGTAGGATCTCCTCACGCACAAGCGCTGGGCGTTGCAACAACGGTGCTACTACACCGACTTTTACAACACGTCAACGTGTAACGCCGCCTTCGAGCGACTTCCATTTTGCCTCGAGTCGATCCAAATGGCATATATGAACGACACCGTTGAGAATCGCGCCCTTGCCATGGCGGTTTGCGAAGATGTTTACCCGGACCGCGTACCTGGACGTAGCCTTGAGAATGTCAACCTCCGGGTACGTCACTCTCCGCAACTGCAGCTCTGTAGTGGCTGATCAGAGTGGGCAAATAGTGCGACGGAACTCTTGAGAACTGCACGCCCGAGACCACCTGGGCGTCCGACTTCATGAACCTGCCAGCTACGAAGGCCACGCTGGGCGTGCCAGAGCACCTCAATTTCTCCTTCGTGAGTCGGCAGGTACACAAGGAATTTGTTGCTGAGGGAGACATGTAAGCCGGTTCCCCGAGAATTGCAGCTACACTCTCATGGCATTGTATGCAGGGTTCAGCAAGCGTATCTACTCTACGAAGACTTGCTCAGGGCAGGTTACCGACTTTTACGTGGGTGCAGCGTTCTCCTCGAGTACGCCCGTCTAATCTTGTCATGTCCAGACTACATCGGCAAGCTCGATGCGAACTGCGCCTGGCCAGGCGTCCTCTCCATGGTTGGTTCTCTTCTTCAAACGTCCGTTTCTCCAGCCCACTAACTTCTGCTGCAGCTCCGCCTCGTCCGCTCTCAGTACCAGTCCGCCTTCCTCGCTGCGCCGGATCTGCCCTGGACAAGCGAAGACGCGACCGTGCGCGCCATTGGCCCCGGCGCGGGCAACTTCACGTACGTCCTCATGGGCAGTGCAGGGCATTTCGTGAGTCATCCCATCGTCGCCAGCAAGCTGGCGTTGATAGAAGTGTGCGATCACAGGTCACGGACGACCAGCCAGTGTTGGTGAAGAAGATACTGTATCACTGGGTGGAGAACGTGCCGTTCGAAGTTGAGCAAGACCAGAGCGGGGCGAGCTGAAGACTGTAGTTCCTATTTGCGGCAAGCACTACTCATCCGCTGGCTTGCACTTGCTCGATGGGCCATGGGCTCCTGAGGGGCCTCTACTATATATACTAATAGCCACCCATCATTGCATCATTACTTGGCCCATTGAGACATTCTGACGTCGCCTAGTGTTTTACACGCAAACTATGCTCGATATATACTTTTAGCATTTAATTCCAAAATTACAGGCCAATTGACCTTGATTTAAGTGAGGAATAAGAGAAACATCGGCAAATTCAGGCAAATCTGGGTCTGTCCATCGCACACGGGCACATGCTCTTGGGGCAGCTTGTTTACACGTAACTCGTTTCTTATACTACACTTACAGAGTGAGTTCTCCCGGATCTTGAGGTGAAATGACGAACATTAGAATACAAGTCGCCTCTTTGGGCGCCTCGTTACGTCCGACTGGCCGGGATTGACGCACTGGCGTCCTACGTTGCTCTCCCCAGCAAAATATACATAGGTCTGGTCCCGTTTTCTCTAAAAATTTGGTACTCTGAAACTGACGAGTTCATCTCTCTGGCAAGGGGTCTGCAGATTTTCCTGCCAGTATCTTGAATTCCTGGAGCAGGAGACGCTCCGTAGTCTAGAGCCGCCTGAGCGGCCAACAGTATGATCTGCCGCCAACATCAAGTCCTGCGTCCGACCTCTGGACGTCAGGTCAAACAAAGATGCGGGTAGGAGCATGCCTCAAGGCGCGCCCATGACTGAAAATTTTTCATTTCGGGTGGCTGCGTAATGCTCCGGAGGTCGCATATTGGCAAATGCCCGTCTTGCGAGGCATGCAAGGTTACCAGTGACCAGGTTTGTTACGTCCATTCACCCCACCATCGCATCCACCAATACATCTCATCTTATATACTTCACGGAGCATTCGCAATTGCCAAGCATTCGCCGTGTCAAATACCAGGGCGCGATGTGGATCTCCGTCGCGCACTGGTTCCTTGGTTGAAACAGCCGTCTGGTAGTCTGACGCTCGTGTACGAGGCATATAAGCTCTCCGGTGGCCAGACTCGTTGCTTCAGTCAACTTCACTCGACATCCATTCTCCGAGTCCACCATCGCATTCATCAATATGTCTCACTTTGTGATTACCGGAGTGCAGGGCGGCAGCACCGCGGATGCTGGCCCTCCCAACCGCCTTGAGATCAACGACTTCGTCAAGATTGAGGATCAATTCTCGCTCTACATTCAGGCACTGAGTTCGTACATCTTCTATTGTCTCTGGCTTATGTTGACAATGTCTTTCAGCGGCGATGTCTCAGGACACGCAAGGCGACCTTACGTCGTTCTTCCAGATCGGCGCCATTCACGGCCTGCCATACATACAATGGGACGGTTCGGGCGGGAAAGAGCCTGTCAAAAACTCACAGTGGGGTGGTTATTGCACCCACGGCTCTGTACTCTTTCCGACATGGCATCGTCCCTACGTTGCTCTCTTTGAGGTTCGTACCCACACTATGTCTGCCATGCATTGGGGAATGAGACTGATAGACCCCGCAGCAAGTTCTCCAGCAGCATGCCGCCACGATAGCAAAGACGTATACAGTTGACCAGGATCGTTGGAACAAGGCTGCTGCGGACCTCCGCGCGCCTTACTGGGACTGGGCGGTTAACTCCGTCCCCCCGCCAGAGGTCATCGCTGACAAGCAAGTCACGATCACCCTCCCTGACGGCACACGCGGCGCCGTCAACAACCCGTTATACGGCTATGTCTTCCACCCTATCGACCCCAGCTTCCCAGCACCGTACAACCAGTGGCAATCGACGCTGCGCCACCCAGCGTCCGATGGGCCGGATGCGCAGACGGACGTTCAGGCACTCACTGAGTGAGTGCTCTAAATGGCTCACTTCAGAGTAAACTTTCTGAATGTCTTTCCATAATAGCCAACTCCAATCTTCCCAGGATGACATTACGTCGAGCACTTATCGCCTGCTGACGCGCGTGCATACCTGGCCGGCATTCAGCAATCACAGCACTGACGATGGTGGCAGCGCCAGCAACTCTCTCGAGGCCATCCATGACGGCATTCACGTGTAAGCTCGATAGCCCACAGGTCCTTGGAATGTGGCTAATTGTCATGCAGCGATGTAGGCGGCGACGGCCAGATGGCGGACCCCTCGGTTGCAGGCTTCGACCCTATCTTCTTCCTGCATCACGCCAACGTGGACCGTATGTTGTCTCTGTGGTCGGCCCTTAACCCAGGCGTTTGGACGACAAACGGTCCTGCCGAAGGTAAGTAGTGCTCCCTCTTGATCCCACGGAGAACTGAACCTTGAGTGCCTAGGCGGCACGTACACGATTACGTCTAACGCTACTGTTGGCCCGACGACTCGTGCGTGCTTGTCTATTACCTTACTATCACCGCATCACTAACATCGCCGCTATAGAATTGACGCCATTCTGGGAATCGCAGTCCGGTTACTGGCTTTCATCGCAGACGACGGCGACGGGCAAGCTTGGCTACACCTACCCCGAGTTCAACGGTCTCAACGTGAGCGACCCGCGCGCAGTCAAGGCCGCCATTGCCAAGGCGGTTAACAGCCTGTACGGTGGCCCCAGTTTCGGTGCGTTTGCTGCCGCGGCGCCTGGTATCGCTGCCTTTGCGGCGCCCGCTGCCATTCACGCGACGCCTGCTGTCAGCAAGCTTGCCGCACCCCGCAATCCACAACCCAGCGCGGAATCAGCTCCAAACAGCGTTAGCGATGCGGCCAGTAGCTTGTACGATTGGGCGGTGCGGATCCACGTCAAGAAGTACGAGCTCAGCGGGAGCTTCTCCGTGCTTATTTTCCTTGGGCCGGTCCCCGAAGACCCGCGCGAGTGGCGCAGGAGCCCGTCCTTCGTCGGCGCGCATCACGCGTTTGTCAACTCCTCTGCAAGCCAGTGCGCGAACTGCCACAACCAGGCGGCTGCCGGTTACGTCACCGAGGGCTTCGTTCACCTCAACACAGCAATCGCGCGTCTGTCCGAGATTCATTCCTTCGAACCCTCCGTCGTCGAACCGTACCTCAAGCGCGAGCTCTCGTGGCGCGTTGTGCGCGCGAACAAGACCGCTGTCGACCTCAACGATGTGCCCTCACTGGAGGTCGTTGTTTGTGCCACTCAGCTCACACTCCAGCCCGGCGCTGACCTCCCGGAGCATGGCACGCCGCAGTATTTCACTGGGATCACGGCTGGTCGCCAGGGTGGTGCGAGGACCGAGTAGGTGAGGTCTAGCGACGAAGCACACGAGCAGAACAATCTTGACTCCCATTGTAGAAAGATATTCAGCGCTAACATTGTACACTAGCTGCTGGCCGTGTCTATTGCTTCCTATCTGTTGCCCCCGCAGATACCGCTGTGCTTCCTGTGACTTCGATTTTACGCATGTCTAGTACTGTACCCATAGTTCAGAATGATCTGGCCCTTGATCGAGAGGCTCAACGACCACGAGAAAGCGTGTTTGTGCTTATTCCCAGACTCGCATGGAGCTGGAAGAGTCTTCCCCTTTCCCCTTCACCTCGCTTTTACTTTTGAACTTTGCCCCTTCGGGTACCAACCTAAGTCATTGGGTATAGTATTCTTGCGACGACTGCAAGCCGAGCATAAATTATACTGCTGAACTTATTGAGCTGAACCATATCTCTGGGCATCCGGACGGACTATGACCGCCCTTGTCCACAGTTATAATAGCCCCACATATACCGACGAACGACCTCTCACTGGCACTCTACTAAGCCAAAACCTGACGAGTTTGCGCCGCCGTTCAGAGCTACTCAATCGTTCCACCAGGCCTTGAAGATAGTGTGGGCGAGGGTTTACCATACCGTGTATTAGTTTGCTAATGCGTGTTCGAGTAGTCAGCTGGTTACCCATCCCAAATAATGCGCTGAATACAGCTCGTCTGAGAATTTCTCGAGGCGCAGGGCCATTATGAGGGCGCACCTGTCATATAAGTACTGTTCTGTCTGCCCCGCTTCTTTCAAGTTGCTTTAAGGTCAATCTCTTGACCTGCCAGCTTAACAATAGATACCTGGAGGTACCGGTAGCGATGGAATGTCTTATCCTCTTGTTTAACGTGCGTGGCCGGTACGATGTAGTATGCTGTCTGTGGGGTCATTAAGTCTCTTATCTCGTCGCCCTCAACTACGTCGATGCTTTGTCCGCTTATAGAGCCAAGCAGAGATACTGACCGAGACTTCCTGCGCACCATGCAGCCTGGCTCTTATTCACAGCACGCGGGACCTCGCTGTCCCCTTAAACTAAGCTACCATCTCGAGGGGAAAAACAACGGAGTTACATAGTAAACACGCAGTGTTACGAGCCGCGAACACGCGAGACATGCTCGTCCACCGGCTGTGGCCGGAATAACAAGCGGTTTTGTCTACACCGCGCTCACCGAATACCTGCAGTTTTGCTCAGTCTCCCGGACAGATCAACATGGACGAAATGAACGCAGCAATCGCGGCGACGAGGCCTGTGGTCGGAAGAAGATGGCATGAAAATTTATTTTCAAATTCTCTTTGATTCGTATCCTACAGCCCTTTGTCGTACTTATTCATAAGCTCGTTCTTCCTGACGTCTGTCGCAAAGTTGCTCTGCACGCCCTCCTTCCAACTCGGAACCTCGAACGTGCTAGTGTGGCACCACGGTTTGAGCGCGAGTTCCTTCTCGATTGTCCCTGCGAAGCACGACGCCCACTCGAGCCGCGGGAACGCGCGCACAGTCGCCTCGATGAGGGGCGTGCTGATCAAGTTTGCACGAAGTCCGACATTGTCTGGCAGGGCTCAATGAACGGGAGCGACGAGCAAAGAAAAAAGGGGAGACGCACCGATGATAGTCGCAAGCTGCAATACCTGTCCGACCGCCGTGATGTTTCCGCCCTTGACAAAGATATCTTGGTGGCGTATGACCGCTTCGCAGACCGCGTCCGCGAGGTCCTCCTCTCCGCCGTGCTCGAGGATGAACTCGCGCGCGACTATCCCGCCCTTGAACTCGAACGACATCTTCGTCGTCGCCAAGTACCGGTCTGCTGTACCGATGTCGTGGAACAGGCAGCTCAGGTAGTATGCCTCAAGGTCGTAGCGCCACTCGGGAAAGTGCTTCCGAACGAGGGCCGTGCCTATGTGCACTGTTCAGGATATGGTCATGGAGGAGAGCATGAAGGCGCGCACCGTAGATGTACACTCGGTGGCTGTGGTTAAATGTCGGCCTGTTGAGCTCTTTCTCCACAAAGGTTTTGCTACGGCGCACGAGTTCGCTGTCGGGGAAGGGCAGCTCATCGAGTACATATTCAGCTTGCTGCGGGTTAGGTCCGCCAGCAGTAAGGTGGCCTGCAAGCAAGACGTCCGGGTCGCGCGGGACAGGGGTATAGCCATATTTCTCAATGTTCTCGAGTCGCTCCATGATCGTCGGATGTGCTGGGGGGAAAGATTGTAGTGCCTGTGTGAGAAAGAGGACAGGGGGTCGACGCGTTCTTATATCACGCTTCGGCCCTCGTATCCGAACTTCAAAGAGCGCGTAAAGTAGAAGCACATGTGCGAAGATGCAGAATGTCGTCACTGGTGGGCGCCGTCATATAGGGGTGGGCAGGCTAGTGATAGGCATGACTATCTGAACTAGGCGTAGACGTAGTGAGCCAAACGAGCCTGTCGACCAAATACTTTCTGCTGAGCTAGATCTGATCGTTATCGCAGACAGTATAATCAGCAAGACCGCAGATATCGCCATTACGAGCATCCTCCAGGAACTTCAATAGCCTCGGTAGTCAATGGGCCGATATACCACAGCAGCGACAGTGGGGAATGAGCTCCGGTATAGTTTCACGGGTGCGGGGGAAGGTAGCGTTCAAGAACCTCGACGGTGGGGCACAGAGTACTCGAGGAAAAGGCAGCAAGGACGCCGCACAGAGGTCGCCGGTCCAGAGGCCGAGAAGATGGCACGAAAAGGCTCGCAAAGATTCATACACGCGGCCTGCGAAAGGCGTGCCTATTGTTGAGAGGGCGCATGTGAAACGACGAGATAACCACGCACCGACAAATGCCCCTCAAATCCCTCTTCGGTCTGCATGTACATCCTTCGCGAGCACGACGGAAACTCCGCACCCAACATGAGCTTGAGCAGCGTGCTGATTCTTGGGCCGTAGATGCGTGGCGTGAAGCACGCCTATTTCTAGCTGGTGGTCGTCACTTGAGGTGCGGAAGGGGATCCCAGCTGCAGTGCATGTTGTACAGAGCCATTTCCGTGGAGGCCTAATGGTGATGATGACGACAGAATCAAAGTGCTGGAGCGGGGGAGGCCGAAAAAACGGCCTCGTCGGGAACGATCAATTGTCCCGCCCGGTCACGTGGTAGTCCCCGCCACCCCGAATGCTGTGTGCCAGCCGCAGTTCACGATGTCATCTGTCGGGCAGGGACGTGGGGACACGGCGACCGAGAGGGAATGTAGATTACGAGTGCCCGAGTACGCAAAAAGGCCGAATGGCGCACCACAGCATTGCCATGGCAGAGTAACCAGTTTGAGCTTATTGCCGCAAGTTTCCGGTGCGGTGTTCGTCTCGTCTCGACTTGAAACGAGCGTCCACCTTCCTCTATCATATATCCGCTCACGACCTTTCACGCGGCATCGACAGGCATCGTGCCTCCTCATTTCCCCTGCTGCGTCTGTTCCCTCGATTCTCGTCTGGCTACCGGATTCCTTGGGATTTGTATCATCGACACCGTGTATCCGCTCCACTCGGGGTCTTAAACCCTTCACGCCCATAGCCTCTTTGCGCTCACGACCACCCGTAACGACCTCACAAACTTGTACCACCACCACCACCACCACTACCACCCTCAGGACTCGTTGGACTCTACCAGACTCCACCGATGTCATCCTCAATATCGCCGACCAGAACGGCTACGGCTTCTGCTTCGGCCTCGAGTACTGCTGCGGCAAGCTTTCAAGCACCCGCAAGTCTCAAGGTCTGTGTCGTCTGACTCTGTATATTCCTCACTGGCGGGCAGCGAAGCGAAATCTTCGTGCAGTGGTCGGTCCTGCTTGACGATCCTTGCTTGCAGAGGCCGGCTCTCTTGCTGCCTGGATGTGACAGTAACAGTCGCGGCATTGCGCATCTCTGGACACAAGGGCCCGCGCAAATGGCCGCCCCCAACGCTGAGTGTTGTGCTTTGCCACGCTCCTCCTCCTCCCAGGGCGGACTCGGCTCGCCAGCCCTCCACTCCCCCTAAGCTGCTATGCTAACGTATGTCTCACCTAGATTGTAGGCGTTGTCCTTGCCATAGCGTCCGGCTGTCTCATCGGAACCAGCTTCGTGTTCAAAAAGAAAGGCCTGTTGCGGTCGCAAGCAGGCGGAGTAGCAGGCGAGGGAGTAGCATATCTCAAGTCTCCACTATGGTGGCTGGGAATGACCAGTGCGTCCGCTAGCCCTCTTCTCCAAATTCATACTGAATCTCCTGGCCCGAAGTGATGATTGCTGGCGAACTGTGTAACTTTGCAGGTATGTCCGCTAGATATATATCCGGAGAAAACACATCCAAAGCTATAATTTGCAGCGTACGCCTTCGTCGAAGCGATCATCGTAACACCCATGGGCGCACTCTCCGTCGTCATCTCCGCTATTCTTTCCTCCCTCTTCCTCAACGAGAAGCTCACGCTCTTCGGTTGGGTCGGCTGTTCACTCTGCATCGTGCGTCCCCTCTGTTCACTTCTGCCGACCTGCTCCGTTCGTCGCCCCAGCTAACAGAAGACCCCTCACAGGTTGGCTCCGTCATCATCGCGTTGAATGGCCCCTCAGAGCCGTCCGTAGGGCAAATTACAGAATTTCAGAAGCTCTTCCTTAGTCCGGGCTTCCTCGTATGGGGCAGCGTCCTCATCGTTGTTGCGCTCGTCATCGTGTTCTACTTCGCGCCTCGGTAAGCCGCCCATTAACACCTTCCGCGCACCGGGAAGCAAGCACTAATGCATTGTGTTTCTCGCCGGCGCCCGTAGATATGGTAAGAAGAGCATGCTCTGGTACATCATGGTGTGCAGCATGATTGGCGGCATCAGCGTCTCCGTCACCACCGGCCTCGGTTCTGCCATCGTCACGACAGCGATGGGCGACAACCAGGTGCGCCCCACTCTGTCCCGGTGTAGCTTCCGCCTAAAGTGGAACCGTGGCAGTTCAAACACTGGTTCATATACTTCTTGATAGTGTTTATCGCGATAACTCTGAGTCAGTTTTGATCTAAGACAGTGAATGCGGGACGTTTATTGACAACGGGCATACAGTTACGGAGGTGTATTATTTGAATATGGCGCTGGCGCTTTTCAACACTGGTTAGTTCTGTCGCCCATAGTCCAACGTTCATGTGCGCTGACATACCCTTCTGCAGCAATGGGTAAGGCATCTTCTCAAGCCGCTGCCGTCTGGACGCTGACCTTATCTGACCTCCAGTTACTCCAACTTACTACGTGATATGTAAGCCGTTGCTCTACGCTCGCGACTGCCTCGCTAATCACATCTATAGTCACATTCTTCTCAATCGTTACCACTATCGTCCTTTTCAAAGGCTTATCTGCCCCGGCAACCCAGATCATCACGCTCGTCATGGGCTTCCTTGTCATCTGCTTCGGCATCACCGTCCTGCAGCTCTCCAAGATTGATCCAACGCAGTTGAAGGTTCCTGGCCTCGATCGCCGCTCGACGATGCTCCTCCAGGCGGCACGCAGCAACACTGCTGGCGTCGACGAGAAGAACCTCACTGCACTCGAGGAACCGGGCATTGACACGCTCCGCGGTAGCTTCGGCGCAATGGGCAGTATCATACGCGCGCGTACCGCACGGCGCATGAGCATGTCAAGTCGCGCTACCAACACGAGCTTGCGGAATCGACACGGACCCAGCCTTAGCGAGGACGAGCAGCCGCACTATAACGCCATGGGCGGCCCTGGCGATCAGCTCGCGGGCCTGAAGAGACACCAGCTATACGACCCGCCTATGCCCGCCTCAGACAACATCTCGCTCGCGAGTGACCTCGTGTCGCCGCGCAAACAGACTATCAAGTTTGGCAATGAAGATATCGTCCACAGCTATCCTGTACCCGGACGCGACGCGTTGGACGCGCAGGCGACGCACGAACACAGGAGCGCAATATGGAGCGGACCACCGCAGCTGCCGGTAGGTGCACACTAGCCAAGGGCACTCCACGTTACGCTGACTCTGTCTCGTAGGAGCGTCCCGAGGAAGACGACAAGTCTAGCTTCTCAAGTACATTGGAGGAGATCGGAGCTCCCAGTCTGCGCTCGGCGCCACCAACGGTGTACGAAGACCCGTATCGACCGCGTGCGGCAGACCCATTCGCAGAGTCGCCGTCGACGGTAACGGTCTCGAGCTTCCCTAGCTTCTCATCGAGCGTCGCAACGGTAGGCCGTCCTGGCTCGCAAGTAAGCGTCGACGAAGCGTTCATCGGCGCACGGCAGGATGTTGTACCCTCTGTCGGTGAACGCGAGTCGCGCGGGCACCATCAGCGCCTCTTTGGACGCCCGACGAGTGGACGAGACTATCCGCGGGGCGACAGCATCGACGACCGCGAGGAGAGTGAAAGCTTGTGGCGAAGGCGAAGCGATGAGGAGAGCTTGTCAGACCGGGACTACCCTCCAGAAGGGAGTGTAAGACTTGTGTCGGCAAGCCGAGGGTCAGGTCGAGTGTAAGGTATAGATTTTGGTAGCGCAACGCTGGACTATCCCTTTTTTTTCGCATTTGTCGCTGTTAGTTATACTATACTCGGGATTTGTGACTTGTGTAAAATGCTGCTCGAGGATGTACCTTATTACCATTCGGACTATCTCCATTGTCGGTTGCGGCTACTTGTCACGTAATTTTGTGCCGGCTCAGCTTGGCTGGCTCGAACGCATGCCCTAGGCCGCTACGCTCTCATCAGCTGGAACATTATTGTAATTACCCCGCTTGGGCCAGTGGCGCTGAAACTGGCATAATCAAATTGCGAGATATGGTCGAGGCTATGAGCGTACAGCCGTCAGCTCCCTGCAGGTAGTGCCTGCTTTCATTTCACTATTGCTATGCCAAGAAGCATTCATATGTATAGCCAGTCGACGAAGATAACAAAGTCCCATTAAATATACCAATAGCAAACATAAATATCGAACCGAGGTATGGCAGCCATATCCTCAGCTATCCATACACGTCTCCCTCCTCGTCACATACACTCCTCCATGTCTTTCTTCATCTGAGTGTGGCAGCGCAGACGGTGTCGAATAGCTCGATGCAAGCAATGGGATGCCTGACTTCTTGGAGATGAAATTTGCCGCGCATGTCTCTGATTGTCCTGGGATGTGAGTAAGGTTGCCCCAGCCAGCAGCTCGCCGGCCCTCCTCCGTCACCCGGTATACAGCGGTCGCGCTCAAACGGAACTCTCCGCTCACCTACACAGCCTGTTAGCTGCATCAATAATAAGCCGGAGGGCCCGATCGCACCTGCGCCGCAGAGTCCGTGTCATCATCGCCCACTCCTTGCGCAGTGTACACCTTCGCGCCCCTGCGTCTGCCATTGCGGATAACCTCGACCAAGCCAAGGCGCACGCAGTGCGCGAGCATATTTCCGGCCTCGTCCACACTCAAAAGAGACGTCAGGTCGAGAAGCCAGTTCACAGCGTCCGGCGCCTTGAAGCAGACGTCCGGCGTCGTCCCTGCACTGTCGACCAGAGGGACGCCTGCAGAATATTGATTGTATTTTCCGACAGCATCCGTTGAAGAAGCCTGGGAAGCGCGGTTTGAGGTACGTCCCGCAAGCTGCCGAAAGGCAGCCCGAACGACCGTCGCAGATATGACGACTTCGTCGTCGTCCCACCGACGCACGAGGTGCAGGAGCGTTGTACACACGGGTTGCACAGCAAGAAGTCGGACAACAGCAGGCTCTCCGCTTCCTTTACTGCCATCTGCAGTGAAGTTATGCTTGACCGAGAAGGACTCACCACCACTTCTGGCGGCGAATTGCTCGACGACATGCAGACCCTTGGGCGTGAGGGTGTAAACGCTGCTCCGCACGAATGTGCGCGATTGCGGGTCCGTGACAGCTTCAACAAGCCGTGCGGCCATAAAGAGCTCGCACAGCCGCCGCGCTGCATCTGGCGCGAAACTGTACGCGACGGTTTTTGCTGCTGCCACACCGGATTCTGCAGGGGCTTGAGGGCCGGGTAAGCGTTGCGAGACTTTGAGATCTGCGAGTATACGCATGGCCTCATCGCTGCAAAGGCGATATAAGACTGAGGGTAAGGAGGAGTAGTGGACCCTACGTACAATACGAATGCATTGTTGTACTTCGTGAACCAGCGGTATGTGGTATGCAGAGGGAGGGCAAGAGCGAAAGTTGCATAGATGTTAAGCAAGCTCTGCAAGGTGCGACGTGTTTGAGTTTGCATCGATACAAGAGAGAATAGCGAACGCACTCGGAGAAATGGTCTCCCCGCCTTTGTTACTTTCAATACTCCCTTGCGTGAAGATGCCGCGCCGGTTTTCACCACTGTGGGAGCCATGGGGTCTGAGGTGCGCCTAGAGACAGGGAAACAGACAAGAGACAAGCTATGTGCACTGCCAGAATCAGACTATCAGCTAGTATCGTCACGTAACTGGGCGGTGAGACCGTCAGTACCTGATCGCATCCCTGATCAGTCTGTTAAATCTTAGCCTGCTATATAACGTTCTGCCTACACTAGGCACAAGTATCGCTACTAGTCTGCATCTATATAGAGTTCGTTGGCTCGCAAGTTTGAAGTCGTCTACAACTGAGCTGGCTGAAGATAGTGTGCAAGGCAGGATCCCCGATAATCCTACGCGATATCGCAACGATGCGTGAGCGCTTATGCGCAGCGCGTCAACTCTCTTTCTCTCTACCACCGTCATTGTTGTCTTGTTCACCCCTCACACTTGACTATATTGCAGATATCAGTTATAGGCTGCATCGCAGGTTAGGAAATGCCCAGGGATGGGCGCCTATACACAGGGACGGGTGCCTATACACAGGTATGCTCTCTCTTGCTAGGGTTTAAGGTTATGAGCACTGGTAGGGGTCGGTAGGGGCCGTTTCGAGCGCCGACCCCTGCCCTTGACGCTGGCTGCTACCGTTTGACACTCACTTCTGACGCAGTGCGTGGCTGCCAGTGGCGACTGCATGTGTGCAGAGAGGCGGCCAAGTACATCAGAGTGGCTGTGGTCAGCATGCTTCAGAGAGTGACCGCCAGTGGCGACTGCGTATTTAGTGGGGAAGCAGCAGAGTAGTTGTGGTCAAACCTCACCAGCTATATGCAGATGCCAGTGGCGACCGCACGTTGGCAGGGAGACATTAAAGTACCTTTGGTCATAACCTTGCAAATTGGTTAAGGTGTCCAGTGGTGAACATATATGAGTGAAATTAGTCGAGCAGCAATAGCCAATCTTACGCTCTATATGGCTGCCAATGGCAACCACATATGTGTTTTGTTGTTGTTTGTGGGAAAACAGCACAAATAGCTTTGGTTAACCTGGAGGGCTGCATGTGGCCGCCAGTGGCGACCACATATGCGTTTTGTTGTTGTTTGTAGAAAAACAGGACAATCAGCTTTGGTCAACCTGGTGGGCTGCATGTGGCCGCCAGTGGCGACTGCACATTTGCAGGAAGAAGTTAAAGTGCCTTTGA